CCACAATACCCAAATATGGAATACCTCAATTGGGAGGCCTACTACAACATCTTTCCTACTAACCCGGCTCCTCCCCTCCTGTACCTGAAGACTGCCCTTTGCCCATGGGAACTTAAAGGTTGAGACCTACAGGACACACTAATAACACAGACGACTCTGCTTCTGAATAAATATTGACATGTTTGTTTCTCTTCAGGTAAATCTGTTCTTCCTGATCCCAAACTGTTGGCTGAGAAGGTTTTTTAGGAGAAAAGAAATTTTAGGCCAGACCCCCAGGGAACCAATCTGATGTTTGCCTTCATGGCCCAACAACTTTCACACATCAGTTTTTCAAGACAAACCATGAAGTTCAAGGGGGATTTCACCAAGGCTTTAGGACATGGGGTGAGAACACATACAGCAGTTAATCTACAACCAGAATTTTTATTTATTGTTAAAAAATAAAACCCAGAATTAAGCATTATTGACAAATTTCTGATCTTCTCTGCAGGTTTGATGCAGGCAATATCTAACGGAGACAACCTTCATGCGACAGCTTCAACTACGGTTCATTAAAAGACGGAAAGCTGAAATATTCAGGTAACAAAGAAAGAGCTCAACATTTTTGGGAAAATATGCTTATTTTCTGAGTTAGATGAAGAAGATCAATATCACTTCAACGTCATCTCTATGAATATGTTTGCAAGAAGCTGGCAGCCAGTAAGTTTAGTTTGAAGGTAACAAAATCTGTTTAGCAGAAGTAGAAAAAATTATTGGAAGTCAAAATTATTAGGATATTTACAGAAATGGAATATAATATTCATAGGTATGTTTTCATTAGTGTATAATCACCTGAAAACCAGAGAAGTTATGTTTTTATTACCTTATACATACGTTTTCGGGTGTTTCACAACCACCGTAGTTTTGCCTTGACGTTTTTCCTTTCACATTTATGTGACCCATACAGTCTATGGTGAAACATATGAAACATATGTGAAACCTGTATTGGCACCACTGGACTAAACTATCTACTGTACTAAATTGTAAGTCCTTAAAACTAGTTCCATCTCAACCAGCTGCAACAATAATGCCTCTCACGGTGACATTAACACAGTAAAGAAATAGATATACAACAGGAAACGCTGTGAAGGAAGTTGAGCGTCGTCTTTTATTATCTGTCGTTGATTCTTGTCTGAAATGGTTGCATTGGCAAGATGAAGTCACTGACATGCAAAGTCTTGTTCTTAAATGCCTTTAACCCTCTGGATGCAAATCTTTGAACTTTGCTCTGCCAGTAATCACATATACGACTTTGTTCTCAGGATATATGAACGATCACAGAACGGTGGGGAAATCTTTCATGCAGACTACAGCGATGTTGAAATGTGTGACTCAGCACGTATTTATAACCACTAAACCACACCAAAACCACTTCCTAAAATTCAAGAGATAATACTATAATATCTTTCAGAAGCATCATATGCATGCAAAATGTTATTCCTGATAATTAAGACGCACAGTATTGATCACTGACTGTTGAGCAAAAAGGGGGAGGACTGTTTACAGGTCTCACAGGTTGTTATCTGGCGGATTACCACGGAATTATTTAAATAACATTGTGGTTAACTGTTTGTCTGTGTTACAGATTGGTGGAGGTCACAACTCTCATGAAGTAGTACTCAAAGTGACAGAAATGGTCATCAAAGAGTCTCGAGCAACACGTGTACGGCCCTTTAATGAGTACAGGAAGAAGTTTAACCTAAAGCCGTACACCTCTTTTTATGAATTTACTGGTAAGCAAAAAAAATTCTTCCTTCTGAAACTTTATGCTTCAAACTTATTACCATCGTTTTGTATCTGATATTGGAAGAAATACATTATATCGTAAGAGAATACACTTTGCATTATGTCAAGTAACTTTTTTTTCCTTTCTTGAAAAGAGTATTAAATTAAATAAGTCGCACAGATGTACTAAACAACAAACTTCAAACCACTGAAGGAGGGACTGGAACTAGAGAAGTTCGCAGTCCAATGTAGCAACTGTTTCCTATTACTGACATGCGACTCTGTGCGCTTTCTCACAGTGGGGTTTAGAAGCTAACATCAGTATGCTAACATGCTAACAATGTATGTTAACATGTTGATGTTTAGCAGGCATAATGGTTACCATGTTCACCATCTTAGCTTAGCTTGTTAGCATGCCAACATTTGGTAATTAGCTTGAAAAACAAAGTGTAGGAATGTCATTGGTTTTGGTATTCATAAACCAAAGTAGTAGACATATTCAACTGATGGCACACGATGAAAAGTCAGGGGATCACCAACGTTATTACAGTTCCTCCTGTGGACACCACAACTATGTTTGTGAAGTGGGTGCTTGTTTCACATTTATGTGACACATACAGTTTATGGTGAAACATGAAATAAATAATAGTATGGGTATGGTTAAGAAACAGCTATTTTCTCTTTCCAGATGACTTAGACATGGCCAGAGATTTAGAGGAACTCTATGGTGACATAGATGCTTTGGAGTTTTACCCCGGTATCCTGTTGGAGAAAACACGTTCTAGCAGCATATTTGGTGAGAGTATGGTTGAGATCGGGGCTCCCTTCTCCCTGAAAGGCCTGCTGGGAAACCCCATCTGCTCCCCTGAGTACTGGAAGCCGAGCACCTTTGGGGGAGAGACTGGCTTCAATATCGTCAAAACGTCTACTCTGAAGAAACTGGTGTGCCTCAACACCAAGTGGTGTCCATATGTGGACTTCCACGTTCCACGAAATGAGGAAGAAGCAAAACCGAGAGAACCGTCTACTGAACTTTAATGAATGTTCGTCTCAAGATATGTGATTTCATTACTCACCATCAGTTTATTACTATGCTGCTTGTGGGAGATGAGATACTATAGTTGCCCATGTGTTGTAAGTTTCTGTGACAATTGCAATCAGATCGGATTTATTGCTCTTGTGTATAAAAGGTGATGGAAACTACATGTGCTAATTCAGTGGTTTTAATCCTCCCTGCAGTGAATAAAGTACTGTACATTCAAATCAGTCTACCTCCTGAAAATACAGCTGACAAATCAAGTGGTTTCTAGAGATCTGGTGAAATCAATTTACCATTTAGCTTAAAAATTCCTCTTTTTTTTTACCTCTTATTTTCACAGTGGAGGTATTACATCATGTTTCTTTTTTACCAAAGACCAAATAACAAAACACCTTCTGTAAACATGGCATTAACATTAAAATTATCTGTTCAAAGAAGAGAGTCAATTCACTGTATGTAAAAATTAAAATAAAAGCATATATGAAATATAAGTGCTGAAGTACAGCCACACAGAGGAACTAGCATGACTGTAGACTATTGTTACATGATGTGCAGGTTTTGCAGTGCATTTAAATTAGGAAAAAAGTAAGGAGGCTAGACATGATTGTATGTGTTTCTCATACTGACAGGATGCAGAGGGTGGTGTATCACCTCGTAAGTGTGAGAGAAATGCTCACATACTATTGTGGTTTTTGTTGATGTGAAAAGAAAAAGAGACAGGGTTACTTCTGTGTCTCAAGTGTGAATTTATTGCTTACAACTTTAGATTTGTCAGTAATGTGCACTGGATACACGCTGTCTTGTACAGATAAAGCCATTTAATAAAACCATTCGTGTAACTCTGGTGTTGTGAATTCATTATGGCTCATGTGAGTATTGTCCTACTGTCCTTTTGTGTTTATACTGACATGTAGTTTAAATATATTTTTTGTGAAGTTACCACAAATTTATACTGGTTTAAATTAATTTTTACTGTATGGTGAACTATTAATTTCATGTGTAACTGAAACACTAATGTCTTTTAAGTTTGGTTGTACTGACCCCTGCAGTGGGTTAAATTTTTAAGATTGTTGCATGTCTGCCAGTGTGGTGGGGTATGAACATTTCATCTGCTAGTTGGAAACTAGGCCCTTTTCACAGAAGACATTTTGATATGTTAGGGTATGAAAAGCACAGGTGTAAATCATAAAATGAATTATTGTTGAATTAAATTTTGCTGCTTCAGTTTCAGGTTTCTGGTATTGTGCCTGCTGGCTCACTGTCACACGGTCATTTTAAAAAAAAAATAAAACAGAGCCGTCATTAATGTTATTAGTAACACCTGTGCTTTTCCTACTCTGACAAGTCCCAATTTTCACTGTGAAAAAGCCCTATTAATGTTCAAACGGAGACATTTGACTTTTGAGAGAGTACTGCCTCTACATAAATTATATACTATACAGAATCAATATGCAGCAGCTGCACCGCCGCTGGAAGAATTGAGAACTGATTGTCCACCTGATGCTGCATCATGATAACAGTCTTCATCTTCCATTGTCACAGAACAAGGCCAGAAAATTACAGTTTTAATTCTGTCTGGCAGAAATATAAAAGTATCTCCTGAAACTCAAGTATGAACTGTGTTGATTCTGAAAACAACAGTGCACTGGCAAGAAATGTTGGACTTTGGGGACCATCACAGCTCCAGCCTCCCTGTAAGTTTTTACATTTTTTTCCATCTCATTCATCATATTTTCCCGCTACTCTCTTCTCATCCAAGACCCCCTGTCATTCCTCATGCAACCATCCCACCAGCCTTTCCTTTCCTTGTCCAGATTTTCTTCAACACTACCAAACCAGAACCTTAATAGGGGCTTCCTTGGCACAAAACCAGGGAGTAGAACTTTAAGCAATAACCTTAACCAAACCAAAAAACTGCTGTGAAACACTTGTGAAACCACACTGTGAAGCCATGCCATATGAGTGGAATAAATTGCATTTAAAAAGCTTTAGTCAGGTTTGCTTTGTACTACATTTGTAACATTTCATCCTGAATGAGATTACCAACATGAACAGAATGGTTATGCAATGGTTGGAAATCATTCGTAAGACAGAGAGATGGGAGCGTTTGAAAACTTCCCAGTGAGGCGGAGAGAAAACCATCATACAGATGGGAAACTACATACAGTATATATAGTTCCAGCTCTTCAAATAGATGGTGTTTGGTGACCAGCAAAGTTCACCCTGAGAAGAGGTATAATCACCTGTGTGGGTGTGCAGGGTCTTTTATCCACATGTCTCATAACAGGTGTCAGTATGTTATCAGGGAAACAAGCCAAAGCACAGCTGTGGCCTTAAAATCCTAATTTTAGATCATTTGGGGACGTGTATGTAAGCCTTTTCTCGTTGGTAATGTAACAACCAGATGATCACCCTTCCAATGAATCCACACCACATACCTATCTGCTATGGACATGGCTGAGTTATCTGCGAGACTCTGGGATAAAAATGTACCACCCACTCTGTACACAAGGGAGCAACTTACATCTGAAGCCTTTTATGGAATAAAAATCAGACGAGGACAGGCTCCACGCAAGGCGACCTGCACCATCTGTAGATATAAACGTCTCATTCTAAGGAAACGAAAACACAACAATTCTTATTTTCCAGTGATTATACACTAATGAAAATATACTTCCATTTCTGTCAATAGATCCTCCAAAATATTACACACTGGCCTGTTAAGGCCCCTAAGTTAAAACCATACTTGAACAGGCCTAAATAGCACAATCATCAGTATTTGATTAAATCCGAGACCTTTGACAAATTTTGCCCACTTTGTCTGTTAATTCCGTCTCTTTTTGTTTCAGTATAATAAACCAACCAACAATAAAAAATCATCTTCTTTTGATATTTGGACTCTTTCTTAGCTACGAACCAAACTAAATGCAATAACATCTTGGTGAAAACCAGTAAAACTTGAGTTTACTTTGAATACTTGAAACACGATTGAAATTGCACTTATACATCCAAGTTTTATTTTGATAAATCTTAATATTAGTTACACCATGCAAGCGTTCCTTGTTGAAACTTCTAAATCAGTATTGTTGGTCAGTTATGGGGCAATGGTTGTTTTCCATGCCATGAGAGGTGAGTGATTTTTTAACAATACGCAGCACGTTTTTATTCACTAACAACAGGACACCATAGATCAGTATCATTAGTGGGGAAGCTAGGTAGAAATATTTATACAATATAACAATTTTCGATAAAAGCAACGCATTTGGAACAGATGTAGGTTTATTTGTTATAAAAAGATATAGATATCGGGACACTGCATATTTTACGACTCTTGATGATTGCCATGGTCTGTTGAAGCGAATTAGATCAGATATCAGAAGACCGCAGACAGTTTCCCCTCTTTCCTTGTCTAAGGGTGCTTTTTAAAAGCATTTAACCTGTGAAAAGAATCCTAACCAAATACAAGGAGCATGGTCACTACAGGGCCAAATTTGACCCCCTTGCCTTTGTGCTAGAATGACAATACATTAATAGAACAGCGAGATCTTCAGCTTTCCATCGGTGTATTTCTCTTTTCTTTACTACAACTGACAGAGAGCTGGCTAATTGATGTATGCAGTTGTTTTCATTAATGTACATTTGCAGTATGCTGAATAAAGATGTGTTTGTTTAAATTACAGAACCTTCTGGTAGGACCGAAATGTGTCATGAGACATCACTAACATGGAAATGTTTAAAGTAATTTATGCAATAAGATATTCATGCTAGGGGTGAATCAAATTCTGCAATGCGGGGCTACATTTAAATATACTTGGTTGTCTCCACCTAATATTTGAATCCCCCCTCAAGGAGTGTCATAATGTCAAGGGATCAAGTTCAAGAATAATGAAAAGGTCCCACTGAACATGAAAAACTATGTAATAGGGTAAAGGAAATAGGGTTATAAGGATTTTAAAGTATGTAGTATCTTTGCAACCCCTCTCACCCCTTCAATTCTCCGGTGCGCCCACCTCGTAGTTTGTAAACCTCTGCTCTAGACAACTGCAGGTTAACCTGAGTCAAGCAGCTGTAGTTAGCCCAAATATATCTGTAATAACTGCAGGGTAGAGGGGGGCAAATGTTCTACAATCTATTTATCCTCCCAAAAACATGCTAGGATCAACGAAAGATGGGACACAAAAAAATGTAATTAATACATAGCATATTATAAGAAACAGCACTTATTATGCAGAAGGATTCCTTTCAGAAATATATATTTATACAACAACATTCAATTGCATAGTCAGAATAAAAACAATTATATATATTTTATTATCACCGAGTTGAGATAATGATTCTGATCAAATTTTAATTCTGAATTACAAAAACAGATGTGTGTGAAGATAACAGTTTAAAACACTTCATCCTTTGGGAACAAAGGTGAGACCACTGACCTAAATGCAGGTTTACACAGACATCTATGTCCTTGTAAAAAAAATGAGGTTATGTTTGCAGACCATCAACACTTCTTTTACGCATTTATTTAAATGAACAAACTTTTCTTGTCTTCTTGGTAGTGTTTCTGAAGCTGCTAGGCTACTTTGAAGGTCTGAAACATGAAAATATGAAAATAGAGGGAAATAAAACATTTGCACCTCCCAATTTGGATGTAGTCAAATGTCAGGCTATATTATGAGAGAAACACCACACATCGAGACTCAGGAGTTTGCTGAGAGCCATGAGAGGTGAGTTCCCCTTCAAAAATGTACAGCACAGCAGTTTGTTTTTCACAGATAATTAGAAAAACATTATCCTTATTTTTATTTAGGGTTTCACATTGCGTCCATCTGGGTGTTAACCCTCCTGTTGCTGCTGAAGTGCTCATCATGTGATGGTGACTACAGTGTTGGTTACTTCTTTAACTTTACAATTGCAGGTTTTAAATATTGTTGTTATTGTTGTTAAGTATTTGACAGATATAGAATAGCTAGAATGAGGCCTTTCTATATGTGACATGTAAGGTTTTTTAAATATATTAAAATATATTTTTTTGTTTATGTCAATGTTATAAATTAATGGAATAGACAAGTTTAAAATCTATATTCTGGTTGTTTGATAAACTGATGACTGGAAGATAAAAGAACTAGTTTAAAAAGAAAGTAAAGGGAGAAAAGCAATCATAATCTATTTCAACTTAATCATTTATTTGAATGTTTTTTAATATGAAATAGCTGTTTCTGGAAAACAATTTACAAAATTATTTACAACTGCTAGCTTACATTTTATGCTAAAATATTAAATTTATTTGTTTTTTTAAGTTTTAAGCGGGAAAATCCTCACTGACGTTAAAAATATCTTTAATATTCCACGTTACATAGCTTCTGCATTAATTTCAATGCCAAGAATAATTAATATATATTAGTTAATAAAAACATGTTGCAACAATTTTAAAACATTTTACACTGAACAGGCAGAAAACCTGAACACCAACATACTGTCCCTGCTAGCTAGAAGATTTCAGGGCCCACACCAGGCACCCACTGTGGTGTTAACAATAGGATACAGGCTGACTTGATGGCTCGATCAGTTCATATTCCTATGGTGCTGAAGAAACTTAAGTCTTAACAATATCGTACATGCACAGAAATAAATATGATCTTTTTCCTTGTTTGTAGTGAATCCCTGTTGCTACTTCCCTTGTCAGAACTCAGGAGTCTGTGTGAGATTTGGCACAGATCACTATGAATGTGACTGCACCAACACTGGTTTCTATGGGGAAAACTGCACTGTTCGTAAGTTAATTTATTTACTAACAGCTGGACTGTCTCTATCCAGTGGTAACAAATGTACCACCTAAAAGCACCTCTGAAGCTATTTTGTTTCATTTATAAAAATAACCCCAAAGGTGTAGAGTGAGGCTAGCTGTTTCCCCCTATTTCCAATCAATGTGCTAAGCTAAGCTAATGAGCTGCAGGTGGTGGCTTTATACACACAGATCCGTCTTTCTATTTCCCACAGTGAACCCAGATAACATGAGGAAGTAACTAATTTAGTCTATCTAATTTATCTAATCTTATTATGTATCAACAACCCTATTCTTTCAGTACACTACGCAAAGGTTGTGAGCATTTGCATTTGTTTAAGTGAAAGTTTTACAAGCTCCCTTGTAGGCTAATGTGAGTGACTTAGGCTACCTATTTTATATATAAAAACTTTCATTAAATTTCAAACAAAATTCTTTTAACACAGTCTTTGTCCATAGCGGAGGCCTGGACAAGAGTTTGCCTCATGCTGAAACCCAACCCCAGCATCATTCACTTCTTCTTCACCCACTTCAACTGGTTCTGGGACCTTGTCAACAACTCTTTCCTGCGAGACACATTGATGAAAGTGGTGCTTACAAGTAGGCAGTAATTTGTCATTTTACATTGTTGGGAAGAAGGGAAATTGGAGAGAAATGAGCTTCAAAAAGGACGTAAAGATAGAAATATATTAAAGGTTTGGGTCATATTAATTGCTAGTTACTTAAGACATGGCATGGTGGTAATATTGGTGTTAAATTATTTTTTATCATTTAAAATGCAGCTGATTTAAAAGTTTGTCACCTGTTTATACATGATGACCACAGTCAAATATAATTATCATTCAGTAAGAACCAGCATTATTCCAAGCCCTCCGACCTACAACAGCAAGTATGGATACCTCAATTGGGAGGCCTACTACAACATCTCCTACTACACCCGGCTCCTCCCTCCTGTACCTGAAGACTGCCCTTTGCCCATGGGAACTAAAGGTGAGACCTACAGGACACAACTATACACAGACGACTCTGCTTCTGAATAAATATTGACATGTTTGTTTCTCTTCAGGTAAATCTGTTCTTCCTGATCCCAAACTGTTGGCTGAGAGGTTTTTTAGGAGAAAGAAATTTAGGCCAGACCCCCAGGGAACCAATCTGATGTTTGCCTTCATGGCCCAACACTTCACACATCAGTTTTTCAAGACAAACCATGAAGTTCAAGGGGGATTCACCAAGGCTTTAGGACATGGGGTGAGACACATACAGCAGTTATCTACAACCAGAATTTTATTTATTGTTAAAAAATAAAACCCAGAATTAAGCATTATTGACAAATTTCTGATCTTCTCTGCAGGTTGATGCAGGCAATATCTACGGAGACAACCTCATGCGACAGCTTCAACTACGGCTTCATAAAGACGGAAAGCTGAAATATCAGGTAACAAAGAAAGAGCTCAACATTTTGGGAAATATGCTTATTTTCTGAGTTAGATGAGAAGATCAATATCACTCACGTCTCTACTATGAATATGTTGCAAGAGCTGGCAGCCAGTAAGTTTAGTTGAAGGTAACAAAATCTGTTTAGCAGAAGTAGATAAAAATATGAAGTACAAAATTATTAGCACAGCTTTTTCATGTTCTAATATTTTATAAAACACCAAGAGCTGTTTCTTGTATAAATTCCTTAAATATTTTTTAGGCTACTTCCTGTGTTACATTAACTTCTGAGAAGGTTGTGGTACATTTTAGAGAGCAGCGAAAGTGAAAAAGTGTTAAAAGGAGACAGCTGGCAGCGGGTTATCTTAGCTTTGACATGCTTGTGATTAGGGTGTGAGAGGAAACTTCTAAAAAAACACTATGCTTGAAGATTTTGTTTCATAAATAAGATATGTCTGTTACAACTAGCATGGCATGGAACCTAAGTTAAATAAATAGTAAATGGTACAAAAAAGTTTAAATAGCTCAGAGTCAAACTTTAAAATACTGTTCTTTTGCTCACAGGTAATAAATGGTGAGATGTACCCTCCAACAGTATCTGAGGTCCCTGTGCACATGGTGTATCCTGAAGGTGTCCCTCCAGAGAAGCGTCTGGTTATTGGTCAGGAGATATTTGGCATCCTACCGGGTCTCACCATGTACGCCACCATATGGCTGAGAGAGCATAACAGAGTGTGTGACATCCTGAAGTCAGAACATCCCACCTGGGACGATGAGCAGCTCTTCCAGACTGCCAGACTTATCATTATTGGTGAGTTTAGTTTGACATCAACTGACAAGATTGGTGACCACAACCAGACGTGAAAAACAGCATTTCTATTTTTTTTCATCCATCAGGAGAGATGATTTGCATTATAATAGAAGAGTATGTGCAACAGCTGAGTGGCTATCTGCTGAAGCTGAAGTTTGATCCCTCCCTGCTCTTCAACGCACGTTTCCAGTACAGCAACCGCATCGCTCTGGAGTTCTGCCACCTCTACCACTGGCACCCACTGATGCCTGACAGCTTCCTCATAGATGGAGATGAAATCTCGTACTCCCAGTTTATTTACAACACCTCCCTCCTCATGCACTACGGGGTGGAGAAACTGGTGGATGCCTTTTCTCGACAGCCTGCAGGACAGGTAGATAACTACCCCCCACTGACTGTGTACAAGAAGCCAGTGTTAGGGGTACAAGGGCAGTCTTGGGGCTGTAGTTTTTTCTAACATTTTTTCTCTAGTAATCAGAAAGTCAATAGGCAAAATCCCTAAGTGTCTTGCATAGATAGTTTTACACTTATCACTGGGCATTGGTGTAATTTTTGGTGTCTTTCAGATAGGTGGTGGCCACAATACTCATGAAATCCTCCTCACAGTCCCAGAAATGGTCATCAGAGAGTCTAGAGCAACACGTATGCAGCCCTTCAATGAATACAGGAATAAGTTTAACCTCAAGCCATACACCTCTTTTTATGAATTCACTGGTAAACTGGAGTTATATTGTAATAATCTGTTACTTATATAGAGCAAGTTTGTGTTTTTGCTGACATTGTTTAAGTTGTAACTTTATGTTATTTCACTATAGGTAAAATTAGACAGGAAAGTAATCTTGTGTTGTTTCTCTTTTCTAAATCAGATGACAAGAAAATGGCCAGGGGTTTAGAGGAACTCTATGGTGATATAGATGCTTTGGAGTTTTACCCTGGCCTTTTACTAGAAAAGGCACGCCCTAATGGCATATTTGGTGAGAGTATGGTTGAGATGGGGGCTCCATTCTCCCTGAAAGGCCTGCTGGGAAACCCCATCTGCTCCCCTGAGTACTGGAAGCCGAGCACCTTTGGGGGAGAGACTGGCTTCAGTATCGTCAAAACAGCTACACTGAAGAAACTGGTGTGCCTCAACACAAAGTGGTGTCCATACGTGGACTTTCATGTTCCACAAAATGAGGAAGAAGCAAAACGAAGAGAACCGTCTACTGAACTTTAAATGACTAATTAGCCTAATGAGCTCTGATTTTATTGTTTTCTAAGAGCTTATCACCTTTCTATGCTTTCTGTATTTTCAACAGTGTCATAAAAGATTGTTGTAGTTCTGTAATTCTGTTGTTATTCTGTATTTAAAGGTCCAGCGTGTGGATTTGTGACATCTAGCGGTGTAATTTCAGATCTCAGCTCCCTTGCTTCACTCTACCATTCCAAGCATGAAGGAGAAACTACAGTGGCTGCGGAACGTGTGAAAGACGCAAATGCCCCTATTTATTTATTATTTTGTGTTGATTCTGGCAGCCAAAGATGGTAATGTTTCCACTACTTTGTTTCGTCTGATTTGTAGAAATCTGATCTAATCTGACCTGGTGTCATACATTAAGAAAAACTATTTAGAAATAGCTTCTCGCTGATGGTCGTTTGTTTTTGTAGGTTATATAGAGATATCAGTATTGAACCAGTTATAAACTCCTGCTAGTACATTCAAAAGAAACATATAAATACCACTGGCATTCAAATTGATTTAGTACCTGTACTTGCTCAAATAGGATATTTAACTGAAAATACTTTCAAATGCCAAAAGGTGTGTGTAAAAAAACAGCCTAATTGTTTAGCCAATCTTCTTGCTGATGGTCATGTTTGTCTGTGTAGGTCATATAGAGGCACTAATATTAAACTGAAACCAAAACCAGTCAAAGATCCTTAGCTTACTTTCAGGTTCCGCGGAGCTTTTTCACAAACAACTTACTGAGACACTGTCACAAGATCTGGAGTGATGACGTTTGAAGCACATGGTTATAGTTAGAGCTTTTAATAATGTGCAGTGAATTACATTTTAAATAAAGCATGGCTTCATCCACTGAAGCATGCCCACATCTGAGTAACATGCAAAAATATCACTTCGGAGTTTGGTTGTATTGTCTAAATGTTTATTAATACAGCCCCTCTTACTCTCCTTTGGTTTCAAAAAAGGTGTTAACAGTCAAGTAGCTTGAAGAGAATGAGCAGATCACTGAAACTCATTGTGTACAGTCACAAATAAACACAGTATTTTATGACAAAGTAAAATATCCTTGGCTGCTTCACTAAAGAAGTCAATATTGTACAACACATTAAAGTCAAAATGTACTAACCCATAACCAATAACACAATATGAGTGAAACGTTAATAAAGTTAACACTAAACAACATGTACATTTTCTCTTTCATGGTTCAGTAGGAAAATAATGAAAATTAAAAAGTAGAATAAAGTAGAAAGCAAGACTAAAAGTTTTATTTAGAAGTAGCCTGCACTATAGTCAAACTGTAACATGACAGTAATTAATGTAACCACATGGAAGAAAGTGCTGTGCTAAAGCTATGAATACACATTTACAAAAAGATGTAGACGCTTATACAGAATATAGCCCCATACTTTTTTTTACGGGAATAGTTCAACATTTTGGAAAGTTAATTATTCACCTTTTTGCTGAGAGTTAGATGAGGAGGTCAATACCACTCTCATGTCTGACAGTTAGCCTAGCTTAGCATAAAGACTGAAAGCAGGCAGCTATCCTGGCTGTGTTCAAGGTTAAAAATATGCTCGCCAGCATCTCTAATGCTAGGTAATTACCTTATTGTATGTTTGTTTTATAAAAACAAAGATGTAAAAACGACAAGTTTTAATTTTATGAGGAGTTTTCATACATTTAAATATGCTTTCTCACGATACACCAATTTATGAGGCACATTTTCCTCATCATGGCTTTACAGTTGATTGCTCATACGATTTGATGCCCTAATCTGTAGCTACTTACTCTGATGAAATCTGGCAGTCGATTGATCATTCTCCTGAGTGTTAACTAATGGGGAACTGAACGGAGGTGCAGCCACTGAAGTGGAATTAGAGATTGAATTAATATGAGTGCTAGTGCCTACTGCCATCGGAGCAGTGGCTGCTGGGTAAAAATGGACATCCACTGCAACTGTAGTGAGGCCCAAAGAGACATGGTGAGAAAGAAGCAGGGGTGGGTTGCTGTGTGAGATGCTGAGGCTGTGGTGAATAGGTGCTACACATGCCTCAGCACTCTGTAGGGTTAATGAGGAGCGTAGACCCTCCTCAAGTCTGGATGGTGGAGAGGGGGATGGTGAACGGGAGGGTAAGGATGATGGAGGAGGCAAGGCATCCTGACATGGGCTGCGGTTGTCTCCTCTGTTACTGGTCCAGTCCTCAGCACACTGCAGCTGGATGCTAGGCTGGGACAAACTGCAGCCCTTCTCTTCTTCCAGAGAGGGATCAACCTGAAATAGTAAGGAAGGAACTCTTTAATGATAACTTATTGATAAATAAACCACGTTTAACCACAGTGCGACCCAGTTAGTTCAATCTATTCATGCCCAGAGAACCTCAAAAACAATTTACTATATCATGTTTATGTGTTTCTGTCTTATCAAACCTTAGTGTCAAGAATGGGCTCTGGATAAGTCTCTACAATGACAGAGTGGTTGTCCAGAACGGGTTGTGGGTCCTCTTGAAGATCCTCAAATGTGGGCTCCATCTGCACCGTGACCAGGCTTGGTCCTGGGGGTCGGGCTCGGGTGTCAGATGTGTTGGGGCTCTGCTCAATCACAGCCACACAGTCGTCATCTTCAAAAGCTCTGTGCAAGAAACACAACACCCTGGTTTCTTGCGTCTTTTACAAAGAGGCAAAAAGATCTCATTAATTTTTTCGTCTTGTATGATAGTGTATTTACCTGTTTTCATATGTTCGTCCTGCAGCTCGACGTTCAGCGTGTCGTATGGGGACACCCAGATTCCTCTGAGCTGTCAAGGACATGTAAATTGGCTCTAAAGGAATAGTTTGACATTTTGGTAAATATTCTTTATTCGCTTTCTGGTGGAGAGAAGATCTCATGTCTGTCTATCTAATTAGCAGCTGGTTAGCGTATCTTAGCAACAAGCAAACAAGAGGGAAAAGGGAAAACACAAATCAAACCATTAAGATATAATCTGGTAGGTAGTGAGCCTTAGAGATTCTGGTAGGCAGATTTTGTTACCTTTTGAAAGAGCCAGGCTAGCTGTTTGCTCCAGTTTCCAGTCTTTGTGTTAACCTAAGCTAATTAGCTGCTGGCTGGATCCCAAAATTTAAAATAGCACTCCACTAATTCAGCATTACACTAATATAACATTGCTGAACTCACTAGACAAAATACTCATAATTGATGCAGCAGAACCAGAGATATCATCTTATTTTCGTCCTTGTTAAACCTGGCCTACATTACCCACAATGCAGCTAGACTGCCTTAAGTTAGAACATTTTTTCATCTATCATTTTCAAAATTGTAGTCTTTCTTTCTTTCTTTCTTTCTTTCTTTACATATTCAGTAGAATTCCCCAAATATTGTTGAAGGTTTGAAAGTTAAGTTTCCCTTTAACAGACAGACATAAGAGTGGTATCATTTACCTCTCCACCCTAAAACAAACAAGAGTATTTCGAAAATGTCGAACTATTCCTTGAAGAATAAGTATTTATGGAAGTTTTACATGCTCAGAATATGATACAGATATGCAGATATTTGCAAATTTGATGTGACTGAGTATCTCTGACCTGCTCGGCTTGTTGGTGCAGGTTCATTCTTCTGGACCACAGAATAGAAGGTAACAGTGATGAAGATGAAGGCCAAAGATACACCCACTCCTACCACAATGGGGATGTCATGTTTCTCCAGCACAGGCAGCCATGATGGAGACTGCTGCGTCACTCTGGAGTGTATAATACAAACAAACATAAAATCTGGTTATCTTGCTGCATTGCTGTGCTTTTTTAAAATTGATACATGGCAGAAACTCCATCTGCACAATATCCATCACTCCACCATCTTTTTTATTTTACCTACCTTGGATCATTGCTGGTCATAGGTGATTGGGATGTGTTCCTCTTCAGCCATTCTGTAAGCTCTGTGTCATTGGCTGATTTAGCTGACTGCACAGGGACACCTTGCTGGCTAATATTTAGATGTACCTGATCAGACATGTTGACCTGATGGACAACAGGAATCTCAGGGTCCAGTTTTGAAGGATTGGAAGTCTGATCAGGATGATGGTTGGTTGAGTCTGAAGGCTGGATTTTAAGAGGATTTCTGTGTTGGAGTGGTGGAGTTTCTGTCTGTGGTAGAGGAGCTTGTGAGTGGAACAGTGGATGTTGTATTGGAGATGACTGAGTTTGGGTTTGAGGCAGTTCAGATATGGTCGAAGTTGGTTTAGGTAGTGCTAGCAAAGGTTGACTGTGAGTTTGGGATTGTGGAGGTGGAGGTTGTGTGGAAGGCAAATAAAACTGGATTGTCGATAGCTCAAGATGGAACTTCGGAAAAAGGCTTTGAGGAAAAGATTGTTGAGGATCAGATCGAGATATTTGTGAGTGGGTTGGTGAAGACTGCCAATGTGTTTTCTGATGTAGAGGTTGACCTGAGTGCTCAAGTTTGGTTTGAGTAATCTGGGTTGAAGTTGACTCATGGTAGGATTGGTAAAATGTGCTTTTTGTAACCAACTGGTGAGGCTGAGTTTGAGATTTGTGCAATTCAGCAGAAGACTGGGTTACTGACTCAGAGTGGCTTGCCTTAATTTCAGTTACACGACTCTGTGTTGGAGTCGGCAAATACAAATCCATCTTGAGAAAGCTGAAGGGTCCACCCCCTTGAAGCTTTGACGGTGGTTGAGACACGGACATCTCAGTGAAGGATTCTGTAATTTCACTGGCTAGAGACACAGCATGGATGTTAGAGACCTGAGAATCAGGCTCTGTCATCAAATGGTCGCTGGTTTGATGCTGAACTTCTTGTGATGATGTTAATGTCCAATGAGATTGACTCTCTGAGAGTACATACTGAACAGTTGTATGCAACTTGTCACTGGTGACTGCCGATGTTGGGTCGTATGTTATTGGTGGTACACTATTTAAAATTAAAGGAAGAACACTAGTCACTGGCCGTTGGGTGTGGAGATCTACTGATTGGAAGTTGGGATGTGGAGGAGGTGGTAATATAGGAGGCTGCATCTGAGTGACTAATGGCTGGGTTGGATTGGTTGTTGGCTGATTCAGGCGGTGCTGTAAAAGACGGCCAAGTGACCCTGGAGGCATCTTTAGCTCAGCCACAACTCCCCTTGAAAATGCAGAAAATGTGGTAGCTCTATTTGTTGTAGCATCACAGTGTGATGAGGAGCCTGGAAATAGTAAAAAGCAAAAAAATGTCATGTTTTCTTTCATATACCCAATACAATTTCACCAAAGTAATGGCTCAATATTGGAGCACAGCAACATTGCTAAAAATATGTCTAATGGGGCAACAAACTGAGCAGTTAGAAGTTAGTTATCAGGTCGTAAACAGTCCGTCAGTGTTGCCAGATTAGCTTTCCAGTGGGCGCACCTTAAATGTTGCTTATAAACCCTCATTGCACCTGAGCCTGATTGTGCATAACTATTGTGTTAGTGCAGTTAGTAAAAGCTGAACCAGGAGGTCCCTCTTTAAACGATTTTACAGGGAGACTACAACTTGGACTCTCGATGGAAAACTACAACCTCCTGGAGACAGCCAAAGGCATCTGTGGGCAAATTTTTTGTAGCTTTCGGAGCCTGTCTACTTGCACTGTAGAAGAAGGTAATCAGAAAAGAAAAGCACAACACAACTGTGCTCAAAGAATGAGTACAACAGACAACAAACAGCCATTTACAGATACATTCTGACATAAAATTTGGAAACTAACATTTCTTCAAATAAAATCTAAAAGATCACATTGTAATATTAGCTCATGCAGAAAATAGTGTTAGCATATTAGCTTGCTAATCGTAATGTTTGCTTGACTACCCCACAGATGCGTTTGCCTCTGTTGGTCATGTGACTCGTGGCTTGTAGGTCGCAGCGGCAGATTGAGACAGTTAGGGTTGCCATTATTGTCTGACTTTATACATTGTTATATATTGTTGCCCTGTCATACCTATTTTCTACTGATGTTGTTGCAAGATCTTAGCATTTACCTTGATGAGTACAAAGTAATCATAAGCCATTGAACTGATGGTTGGAGCTATGAAAATACATACATGTGGCCTCGCTATGCTGTGCCTGTGGATGATGTGTGGCCTTAAGGTGTTTCTCAGCCTTGGAGTCACTTGATTGGGAAACTAGCAGTTCTTTGCTATTGTTGGTGCTCTGGAAAATATGAAAACAAAGACTCTTACTTTCAGGACGGGCACAAAGTTTAACACAATCAGAAGCCACAGCACAAGTAATAAGCTGGTAATAGGCCACAAATATCAGAGCGTTGATGTTACCCATTGAGAATGGAAAGTCACCACATATAAAGTTGCAAACGCACAATCAAGAATAATGTACAGCTTCTGGACAGATACCACACATAAAAACCGAATACAGTCTGCACACTGATTTGAAAGCAAAACAGTGTCACCAAATAAGCCACAGCAGAGATTTTCACTTCATTACTCACAGCAGACAAAACCAGTCTTGTCTGCTTGCCTGTATCAGCTGGATGACGTTCAGCTTAGGACAGAGGACAGCATGAAACACAGTCAGCAAGAAAAAGAAACTTGTGCATATGGGATCATGGAAACATCTTGTCGTACAACAATATACTATAAGTGTATATGTGTGTGTTATTGTAGTTCACAGTGGATTATTAAGCACCACAAGGGCTTAAAAATACTAGTGTAATGACAGCCCTCCACACACACAAACACCCACTCTGAATATACTGTGATAATAAGACAATATATGTGCATGTATGTATTTAGTAATACGATGTCACTCTGCCACTGAAGAAAAAACTGTGAAATGATGAGCAGATGTTACCTGTGACAGTGAGGATGGTATGTTTCTGATGTCGTCCTGCTCGGTTCTCAGCAGTACAGTAATATTCCCCTACGTCATAATACTGCACACTGGAAATATGCAGAGCTCCGTCGTCTACACAGGCCATAGAATAACAAGTGATGAATCACAAAGAGTTGAAACATATTCACATCCACTTTAGGTATTTGTGAAGTTTTCATGTATGTGTCCACCTCTTCCAAGGATGCTATTCATGTTTGCTGCTGAAAACAATTTCCAATGAGAACTTGGTGAAAAACTTCATGAAAATAAACGTTAAATGGCACCAATCACTCACCATCAATGTGTCTGTCTTTAGTGGGGCTGATGGGGGACTGTGTATCTGCTCTGCCCCTGGTCCAGGTATATGTGATGGGCAGAATCCCTACAGCCCTGCAGGGCAGGACCACTGCAGCCCCAATCCTGCAGTTCACCTGAGCTACGAAGGTCACTATGATGGGACTCACTAGGAGGAGGAAAGAGTATATGGAGTCAGATGTCTCAACAATTTGAATCTACATTACAATCACAATAAGTTAAAGTGCAAAACGTACCCGCGACTCGCAGCATTGCTGTGTTGTGGCTTTGGCCCAGTGTGTTGGAGGCCTCACACACATACAGTCCCTCATCATAGCTCCTGGCTGACTGGATGTAAAGAGTGGCATTTCTCAGTCTGTGTGAGAAAATGTCAGTGGTCATATACTATAAAACCATTCCTTTAAAATAATTTGTGTGGGTTACAAGGCAGGAAATATTATTAACCATTAACGGTTTCTGTTAATAGAGTCACAATACAACAACTCACCCCAGAGCAATTTTGCCTCCAGTCTGCTTGGAGTGGCCTCTCTTCACCCAGCTGATGGAGGGTAGAGGGTGACCAGACACCTGACACTCTAGCACTACCCGAGCACCCACAGGCACCGTCAGCACCTGGGGCCACAGTTTCACTGATGGAGGGGCTGCCAGAGAGAGCAAAGCACTGTTATACACAGAGATGAAGGAACAGTTTGAGTGTCCAGTATGGCTGGTCAGTTGTAAAGTCATACCCAGCACAGTTAGGGTAGCTCTTCTAGAGGTGAGGAATCTTTGAAGGTGGACGTTGGAGGCCCTGCAGAAGAAGCTCCCACTGTCGTTCTCCTGGACACTGCAGAGAATAACGTCAAGACACACTAATGTAATAGCGATAGCCCCAATTGGTATAGAAAAACATGCAGAATTAACCAGAGTCTATATCATATACTGTAGAGGTTAAATAACATATACCCTTTTTAATAGTTAACTCTCTGTTTCTCTTATTTCTCTATTGTTAATTCCTCTACCCATATCATAATTCAACAATCAACAATATAAACTCAAATTGATTCAGAACACATCCATATGGTATATTGTCATATTCTCAACTGCTGTACACAAATGTACAAATACAAACCAAACACTCTGAGGACATAAACTTTTTGTCTTTAAACACATACTATGCATACCTACAAAAACAAGCGCGCGC